GATCTTTGAGGGGAAATTTTAAAAACATTATACCACAGGGGATCCCTGGGTGGCTCAGCGGTTTAGAGCCTGCCTTCGGCCCAGGGTGTGATCCTGGGGTCCTGGGATCGAGTTCCACATCAGGTTTCCTGCATGGAGCCTGCTTCTCCCTCTGTCTGTGTCTCTGCCTCTCTCTCTCTCTCTGTGTCTCTTGTGAATAAATAAATAAAATTAAAAAAAAAAAAACCATTGGGGATCCCTGGGTGGCGCAGCGGTTTGGCGCCTGCCTTTGGCCCAGGGCACGATCCTGGAGACCCGGGATCGAATCCCACGTCGGGCTCCCGGTGCATGGAGCCTGCTTCTCCCTCTGCCTGTGTCTCTGCCTCTCTCTCTCTCTCTCTTTCTCTGTGTGACTATCATAAATAAATAAAGAAAAAAATATTTAAAAAAAAAACCATTATACCACACTTTCAGTTTGTAATAAAAACTGTAACATCAGAGTTGTGGTTCAAAAAAGTACAACTCCTAAAGAGTAATTTTATTCATTTAAATGATAAACACTGGTAAAAAAAAATAAATAAATGACAAACAGTGGGTATTCGAATGGTAAAGGTTACTAAAAGATTTTGGCATTATAATTTATTGTACCACATCATTATATCTCAAATGGATGATTCATTCTCAATGACATTTCATACCTGAACTTCCTATTCAAATACAATTAAATTTACTGTACATTAATATATACTTTGGTAGTGAGACATTGATGTTCATCTGATACTATCACCAATTAATTGAAATTATGTTGAAGAACAAGTAAGATTGATTTCAGTGAGTCTTGACTAAGTGGCTACCTCCATTGTTTAATCTGATGGTTATTAATTTTTCAAACTGTTCTTGACACTGAAATCCCAAGTTAGAAGTATAAACTGTCATAATTTAAGTCTTAAAGTGAATCCTTCTAAATTAAAAGTAAAACGAAAAACAAAATTTTTTATTTGAAAGGTTGAACATTTTAATGATAACTGGAATAGTAAGTGATCTACACATAAATATTCATTTTGGTGTGGCTATAAGAATATTTATTTACTGCCTTTGGCTATGTAAAGATTTCAGCTAAAGAACCAAGGCAAAGTGGACCATTTGATAATTATCCTCTAAATTGGGGTTGCAGACTTTATGCCTAGAACTCTATGCCTAGGCAGATAACTGAATGCAGCAGGAAGGGTCTGAGAGCACCTGCATTCCTTATAAGTGCAGAGGACTAAACGCCACAGCAGAGCTTAAAGTTCTGTTAAAAAGTGTACAGTTGCCACTCAGCTCTAACTGCTCACTACACAAAAAATAGAATGGATAACTCCTGGTTTGTAAATGTTAGCTGAAGAGCTATTAAAACACAATATTTCAAAGTTTACCACCAAAATATCTACAATTCCTAAAAAGTAGAAGTGAACAAAGTTTTACCAAAAAAGCAGAGAACTAGACCAACACCACACTAATACCAAGTAGGGCCTGAGGGATGGCATTTTGAATGGGTGGAGTGTTCTCTCTTGCCTTGCTTCTCTCTATAGGAGGTTCCCCTAAAACATGGCTCAGCTGTAATTTGATAAGGCCTCAATGGGAACAGACTATATTAGCAGTAGAAATGAAAGACCCACTGCTGCTGTAGCATCTCTTTAACTGGGAGGAAACTGAAGGGACATAAGTACAAGTTTTAGAACTGAATTTCTTAACATGTGCTTGAATAGTACAGAATATTTCTAGAATCATCAGGCACATTTATAAAGGTCCATCACAAACTCATTTATTTTATTTCCCACATTGGGAGGCACACAGTAAGACTTGTCTATTTGTTCAAGAAATATTTATTGAGCACTTACTATGTGCCATGTTCTTAATGTGCCTCAAGATAAAAGTCAAAACATGCTTGTAGTCTAAATGCAGGGAGACAGACGAGCAAATATGATTCAAGTGCAGGGTGAAGAAGTGTTATGAGGATTATAAAATTGTAAATAGCAATGTAAACTATACCCAGAATATGTAATCCACAGAGGGGAAATCATTAAGGGCTTCCAGAAAGAAATAGTAATTAAAGAGAAAACTGGATCTATAATCTTTATCTAGTGCTTTAGACTGTGCCAGGCATTGTTATAAAAGCCTTATGTTTATTTACTTGTGGAAATCTTCATAACAACCTTAAATGGAAATATATCTCATATTACCTGCATTTTATAGATGAGGCAAATGAACACAGGAACTGACACAGGTCACATAACTACTAAGTATCAGAATTTAGATACCATGCTCTCAACCCCTACATATTATTTATATGTTTATATTTAACAAAATATAGGTTAGAACGTATTACAAGTACGCATGTCTTGGTGATTTCACCGGTGTGGGGAATACTACAGAAAACAAAATACCTTATTTCTGCTTATTGCTTAGGATTGTCTCAAATGTATGTGAGCAATTCTTTCTAGATTCAACCACACTCACAAAAAAGTTCTAGATGTTTTATGACTGATTTGACTTTTAAATTTTAGCATGAGCTTAAATTATCTGAAATAATGATTAGTTTGCTTTCTTCACACCAGCATTTTTAAAAACTACATATAACTATTCTCCATTGAGTCATCTGACTGGAGGGTGAGAAGCTGAGGTAGATGAATTACAGAACACTGTCCCACAGGACCTACTTCATTTGTTTTTAAAGCTTAAATAGTATATTTCTTATGTCATTAGATACCTGGTGCCACTGGCACATATTCATCCAACTCATTATTAGAAAGGAAATATTGGTTAGTCAAATTCGTATTCTAGCTCATCAAGGTTTATTTGTAAAGAAAGATAATATTTTATTTTCAAATACTGTAATCCTACAAGTGTCATTAGATGAAAGGAATACTACTGTGGGGGGTGTGGATGATAGCCATGTATAGAATGCTCAGTTCAGATTTTAACAAAATATACAGAACTTCAATTAGTTAACTGACAAAGGTGACTGAATTCACAAAAGCAAGGTAATGACAGATTTTATTTATTAACCATACACAGAATACCGTATTGGTCTCATATATGATTTAATTCTTGGAAAAGACCTAACATTGAACTCTAAAAAATTTTAGATGAATAAGGAAATCAATACTTAAACATAGAAGGGTGAATGCATTTAATATTATCATAAATGAATTATGCACCACTATCATCCTATTACAGACTCCAATTCTGACTATACATTTACCATTGTAGTGAGTATTATGCTGCCTTTTTATGTTAAGAGTTCTTTTATTTCTACTCCAAGAACTCCTTCTAACATTTACAGTAAGGCAGATCTAGTAGAAATGAATTCCCTCAGCTTTTGTTTGTTAGTCTTTATCCCTCCTTTATTTCTGAAAGACAGCTTTACCAGGCATAGTATTCTTGGTTGATTTTTAATTTTTTCCCAATCTTTAAAATATGTCATCTCATTCTCTTCTGGTCTGAAAAGTTTCTGTTGAGAAATCTGCCCATAGTTTTATGGGAGCTCCCTTGTATGTAACTTTTATCCTCTCTTTTCTCTTGTTTCTTTTAAAATTCTTTCTTTGACTTTTGACAATTTAATCATAATATGTGTAGTCCTGTTTGGGGTCCTTTGGGCCTCTTGATCTGAATATCTACTTCTCTTCCCAGATTTGGGGAGTTTTTAGCTATTATCACTTTAAATATATTTTCTGTCCTTTTATCTTTCTCTTCTCCTTCTGGAATTCCCATAATGTGAATATTGTTTATGTTCCTTGTGTCTCATAATTCCCATAGGCTTCCTTCACTCTTTGTCATTCCTTTTCCTTTTTTTACTCCCAAATGGATAATTTCAATTGTCTTCTAGGTCACTAATTCTTTTTTCTGCACAGCTGAATCTGCTTTCGAAGCTCTCCACTGAATTCTTCAGTTCAGATTCTGTATTTTTCAGCTCTAGCATTCCTATTTATTTTTGATGGCTTCCATTCCTTTGTTAAACATCTTGTGCCATTCATGGTCTGTTTTCCTAAATTCATTTAGTTGTCTGTATGTTCGTGTAGGTCACTAAACTGTAAGAAGACTATTCTGAATTCTTTGTCTGACAGGTCACAGATCTCCAAGTCTTTTGGATCAGTTACTAAAGCTTTATTAGTTTCCTCTGGTGGTATCATATTTACCTGACTTTTCATGATACTTCCTTATACTGGTGTCTGTGCATTTGAGTAAGTGGTTAAAGGTTTCCTTTGAAATAAATGTATTTAAGCCCCAAGAAGTGAATTGATTTAAAAGGAACGTATCAAGTATATATTAGAACAGGAATACCCAAGCATGGTAACGTCATGAGAGTAGTAATGAAGTAACTGAAGTTTGAGAAAGACTAGTTAGTCATCCAGGCCCAAACTTCTTGGCCTGTAGCTTATTGTTTATCTACTCATACCTTACTGCTGCTTTAGGTCTTAGGGGTTATACAATAGGCATAAAACCTCCCTACCGACACCCGACTGTTGCAGGACTACTATTTCCTTAAGGTTATGAAAAAAAAAAAAAACAACAAAACTAGTAACAATGATTAATCATTCTCTGTTCCCCAAATATGTACCAATTTCCAGCCTTCATGCTTCTGTTCATGCTTCCTTCTGCTTAGAATGCTTGGCTTCCCATTTCTGCTTATTGAAATCTTACAGTCTTTTAAAGGCCCAACTAAATGTAGTCTTCTTCATGCAGCCTTTCCTCATCCCGTAGTCAAATGGATTTCTTTCCTGTTCATAGTACCAAGAGACCATCTCTTTCTACTGTGCTTCCCACCACAGTTTTGGTGATATTCTAGATGTTCAAATAATTATATTCTTTCACCCTGTGGATTTTAAGCTCTTTCATGAGAGAGAAAGGAAGAGCATGAATTCTATTCATTTTTATATGACCATAGTACTTAACAAAGTGCTATATACACAGAGTAGGCCCATAATTAATATTTGCTGAATTGAGCTTAATATTTTAAGCAATATGCCTGTGACACTTACAATTTTGCGCTTGATCATGAAGAGTGGGATTTTTGCATGAAGAGGAGTTGAGGACAGTTCCTTATGGACCGTTGATAAATACAATCTTCTTTTAATGTTTCCTAAATCAGTAATTCTGAAAAAAGAAAGAAGAGAGAAAGATTCCCATCAATATAACTACTTCGGATAATAATCAAAATGATATAATTTATCATATAGGCCTGTGCAACAGGAAGATCAAACACAGAATTTAAGAATTGCTTTTTTTTTTCTTTCAAGAGGTAATAAATTTCTTCCTTCAATTTAAAGTGCTCACAAGCCTGAATGTATAAATTCAGTTAATATGCTAATTTATTTCAGTACCTTACACTAGATTTCTACAGTCTTCTAGCCTATGAAAAAATTCAATTTGTATGAACTGAGAAACTGCTAGCCTTTAATAATCAAGCTTGTTCCAGCCCCTTAAGCTTGTGTTATCTTGGGACATACTGTCACCTACTAAATAGGAAAACATTATGGGTTTCTTTCCCTAAAAATGCACCTGTCATTTTATATAGGCTCTTAGTCTGCTTAAAGACAGACACAAAACACTGACTGTCGGTTTCACTTCCTAAGCACATATCTTCAAACCAGAATTATAATACACAAGTTTATTGCTCACTATTCAGGTCAAGCCACAGTGATACCAAGGACATCGAATTTGAACATCTTTAATAGATTTAGACCACAGCCATGATCACAAAGATTAGGTTTGCTTCAAGTTGATAGAGGCTCATTTTTATGTTCTGCTTCCTTTAGGTCTCAGAGGTAACACAGCAGGCTTAAAATCTCTAAACCTGTCTCAGACTGCTATATGGTAGAGTTGATACTTATTAAAAGACTATCTTTTTATCAGAGAATAGTGATGGCTCCCTCATTTTTAGCAACTTTATCTAGATGTACAAACTGCTAATTTTCTACAATTAGTAATCCCCCAAGGTGACAACATTTCAGTCAAATGAACTGCTACCAATATTTATAGTGTAATTAACCATTTTAAAAGTCAACATAAGCTTTTTCTGTAGCTCTTTCTTATCTCCCCTTGCAGTATACTCTTCTCATTATTTCTTCCCTCTAAAATACATATTCTGTAGAAAAAAACTATTACTGAACAATGTTACAAATAAGTACAGTATAAAATAGATGGGATGATTTTAAAGTATGCCCCAGACCTAAAAATTCTACCCTATCTGCACTATGAAGTACCATGAATTTATTTAAAAAGCAATAAATCCTTTCAATATATAGTCAGAGGTAAGATTAAGATGCAAAAGTGTGAAGTCTACTATAATTTTATATTTAGATGTGTAAGTAAATGTAGTATAATTTTTGCTCCTAGGCAGTGTCTTCAAGTGGGATGAACACATGGGGAGGTGGGGTGGTACACAAGAATCCACTGAAATACAGAAAGAAAATGTTAGAACTATCTTTCATCCTATCCTTTTAAAATGTCGTTTTTGGGCGTGTTTCATTATACAGCAGTACCGCAACATATTCCTGTTTTTGAAATAAATAAATGTACCTATGTGGTTAATGTGCTCAAATATTTTACGAATAGGGTACAGGATCAAATATATTTGGATAGCACTGTCATGTTATTACATCTCTTGTGTGAGAAGCTCTAATTAGGGAGTAGAAGGAAAGACTATATAGGGATTTTGGAAAAGGAAAGGGAAGAAAAATTCCCTTGCATCATACAAAAAGTTTGGTTGCATCAACCAAAAACCCATTTCAGACACTGTTTTATTAAAGGTTTGCTTTGCTTATAAAGCTAAGACTATGTTATTTTCATTTGAATTGGTATGGATCAAACTCCTAACAGCAATTTGAGGTCTACTCAGAGGGAGTATGAGTAGACGGCCACTTTATCAACATACAAAATGACAGGAACATTCATTCATTCAGATGTTCAACAAATATTGAGCCAGGAAATATCCTGAGAATACATTGGGGGAACACTATGGTGAAAAAAACAACATATAAAAGGAGAAAGAGACAAAATAAATGTAAATTATCTTAAATCCCATGAAGATGACAAGTAGGAGACTGAACTAGAAAACATGAAGAAATGACTATTTGAACAGTAAACCAGCAGGGTTAGGTAGGACTTAGTTGGTAAAAAAGGAACATGAACTAGAAAGTGTAGGCAAGAGCCAAATCATGCGGGATCTTTTAGCCAAGGTAAGGGGTTTTATAAATTTATTGTTCACAAAAAGAGGCTATTGGGACATCAACATTCTACCTTGCATGATGAATGGATATCATAAAAACCAAATAGTTATAGTATCTTTTATTTCTTTATTGAGGTAAAATATGTCTAACTGGAATGTGGATTTTAGCATACAATCTCAAGTGCTTTGATAAATGTATATACTGATGTTATCACCACTCCAAACAAAATATAGAACATTTTCATCATGCTAGAAAGTTATTCTCCTGCCCCCTTCTAGTCAATTCTCATTCCTGATTTCTATAATCATGGGTAAGTTTTGTCTGTTCCTGAAATTCTCGTAAATGAAATGGTATAGCTGGGATCCCTGGGTGGCGCAGCGGTTTAGCGCCTGCCTTTGGCCCGGGGCGCGATCCTGGAGACCTGAGATCGAATCCCACGTCGGGTTCCCGGTGCATGGAACCTGCTTCTCCCTCTGCCTGTGTCTCTGCCTCTCTCTCTCTGTGACTATCATAAATAAATATAAATTAAAAAAATTAAAAAAAATGAAATGGTGTAGCTTATACTCTTTTGTGACTGGCTTTTTTCATTTAGCACATTTTTGAGATTCATCCATGCTGTAGCATGCGCCAATAGTTCCTGTCTTTAATTGCTGAGTCTTGTATGGCTAGATAATTTATCCATCCATTCTGTTGTTGATGGGCATTTGTTTCCGGTATTGGTTTCTTACAAAAAAAATCTGTGTGAATATGTTCAGAGTGTTTTTGTGAACAAGTATTTTCATTCTCTTGATAAGTAGGAATAATTAGGAAATAATCCCCCCCCCCCAAAAAAGGAAAGAATTCCCCCAAGTGGTTGCAGTGGTTCCATACTCTCACCAACTCTTGGTACTATCAGACTTTAAGCATTTTTTGGAGGGCGGAGGGGAGGGAGGGAGGGAGGGAGAGGGAGAGGGAGAGGGAGAGGGAGAGAGAGAGAGAGAGAGAGAGAGAGAGAGAGAGAGAATGTGTGAGTGCACATGTGGGGGTAGGGGGAAAGGGAAACGAAGAGAGAGAATCCCAAGCAGACTCCACACTGAATATTAAGCCCTATGCAGGCTTTATCTCATAATCCTGAGATCATGACCTGAGTCAAAACCGAGTCTGAGGGATCCCTGGGTGGCGCAGCGGTTTGGCGCCTGCCTTTGGCCCAGGGCGCGATCCTGGAGACCCGGGATCGAATCCCACGTCGGGCTCCCGGTGCATGGAGCCTGCTTCTCCCTCTGCCTGTGTCTCTGCCTCTCTCTCCCTCTCTCTGTGTGTGTGTGTGTGTGACTATCATAAATAAATAAAAATTAAAAAAAAAAAAACCGAGTCTGATATTTAACTAATCCAGACACCTCAACACATCAGACTTAGATGTTAGCTAATTCTAGTTGGTATGAATGGATATCATTGTGACTCTATTTGTATTTGTCTTACGAATAATGACACTGGCCACTTTTACATGTATTTACTGGTGTTTCTTGTGAAATGTCTGTTAAGTCAGTTGCTCAATATTTATTGGGCTGTTTTCTTACTATAATTCTATGAGTTCTCTATATATTTTTGGATATATGTCCTTTGTCAGATACATGCATTGTGATTATTTTCTTGCGTATTATCATAGTGGTATCTTTTGTTAACTATTTGGAAATAATTTCTCACAGAAAAAGTATCAAGAATAGTGTACAGAAACTCATATACACTTATCTAATAAGCTTAATGATACCTTTCGTTTAGCAGAAGTTTTAAATTTAAGTCCAGTTTATCAATATTTATAATAGGGCTTTTTAGGTCTTAAAAAAATCCCTGCCTAGCCCAAAGCTGCAAAGAAAGTACTTTCCTACATTTTCTTCTAGATCTTTTAGTTTTTACATTCTATGATCCATGCAAGATTAATTTCAGTGTATTGTGTGAGGTAGTGGGTGTGGTTCTTTCTGTACTTTTATCCAGTTGTCCCAGCACTATATGTTAAAGACTCTCCAAATTGACATGCCCTGATACTTTGCTGAGAATCAATTTAATATATGTATGTGAGTGTGGATCTATTTCTGGGCTTTCTATTGATCTATTTGTTTCATTTATCCATTCTTTCACCAATGTCACACTGCCTTGGTCATTGTAGATTTGTAGTGGGTCTTGAAACTAGACAAAGAAACTCTTCATTCTTAGTTTTGTTTGTTTTTCTGATCCCTGTTTTCCATATATTTTAGGATACACTATAATTTTCTATAAAAAAGTTGTTGAGAGTTTTGGATTGTGTTGAATCTACAAATCAATTTGGAGAGAACAATACTGAGTTACTCAATTCACTTACATGATACATCTGCATTTATTTAGGACTTAATTTCTTTCACAATGTCTTATAGTTTTTATTTTAGAAAGCTTGCATATCTTTTGCTAAATTTACTCGTATTTTGCTTTTTAATATGCTTAAAAATGAATTTTAAAAATTCACCAACCAAATGCTACTAGCATATGGAAATTCCACTGATTTTCGTATATAACTATTTCTGTGACCTTGCTTAATTCACACAGTTGTTTTAGTAGTTGTTTTGTATATTACTGAAGGATTTTATACATAAACAATTATGTCTTCAGTGAAAAGACTTTCACTTGTGCTTTTCTCAATCTTTATACCTTTTCTCCTTCCTTCCTTCCTTCCTTCCTTCCTTCCTTCCTTCCTTCCTTCCTTCCTTTCTCTCTCTCTCTCTCTCTCTCTCTCTCTCTTTCTTTCCAGTACTGTACTGGCTAACACATTCAGCATATACTAAATTGAAGTGATGAGCACTGAAAACACTGCCTTGTTCTTGATCATAGGGGGAAAATGCTCACTATGTTTCTATACATGTGATGTTAGATGTAGGTTCCTATATCAGATTTTGTATGTTCTATTTCTAGTGCTTT